GTTCCCTTCGCCTTACCTCCCAATTTTCTGGTCTGGCAGCAGGAGCTCTGGAAGATGCGTCTTATCGGGTCGCCATATTCCTCCCATAGGAAGTTGTTAGATGCAGCGCAAACTCAAGGGGGAAGGGCCTATGCCGGGTGTACATACAAGGAGGCAGTTATCATTTGAATGGATCTAAAAGCTGTCTATACCAGTTTTGTACTTAGCTTGCACTAGAAACTGTGCTATAGGATTTTGATCCATTATCACATTTACTTTACACTATCATTACTAGGCAGATAAGAAAGTAAAGGTTAGCCAATTCAAGGAACGTGTTTAGAGTTACACTCGACTTGCACTAGAATTCGATCCCAGATTTGTTTCAAATGCTTTGCATGAGCAGCTTTTCTAGAATCAAGGGGGTCTATCATTTGTGTTTCCTAAAAATGGTGGGTTCTGTGAATCCCTCATTCGTTTTTCTGAGAAAACATTCGTTTTCCTTTTTCCAAATGTCCTAGGTGTCTGCAGCACCGGGGCCAGGAGTTCTGGAGCACATGTAAGTAAGAACCCTGAAAGCCGCACTGTGTTGAGGGAGAGCCGAGGCGGTTCGGTCCTGTTTTCTGTGAACATGGACTCACAAGTGCAGCGGGGCGCTGAGCTGGAGGAGATGACATGGAGCGTCGGTCCTGAGTCAAAGCACAAAATTATGTTTCAAGTCCATCGTGGGTCAGACCAGCCAACATGGCATGGTCTCGAGGCCAAGTACAAGTACAGGGTCCATATGCCCAATATGACATCCCTGAGGATTGACAACCTGACCCTTGAAGACAGTGGGCAATACCACGCTAATGTCAAACTCACTGGAGGAACAATGTCCACTCAGAAGTTCCATCTCATTGTCTATGGTGAGTAACAAGCCCCTCATCCCAGCCTCAGGGGTCACGCTCTTCATTTGCCCAAGGGAGTGTCACTTCAGCACCCCGGGATTGTAGGATTGCAGCCAGATACCAATCTTTACACTCTATTTTCTCTTGAGTTCCCGATAGATTAGCTGAGATTCATGCCTGGAAGAAATGCACTTCATTTGGGGACAGGAGGAGTGGAAATTTGACAGAGATACAAAATTTTGCAATAAGTTTTTTTTCTATACGACTAAACTAAATTTCCTTGACATAGAACTGCTCCTAACTCACCGTGACATTAAGATGGGTTTTGAGACTATAAATCTTTTGTGAACAGCTAGCTTCATCTTTCTTCTGAGGGACAACCGATGGATTTGAACTGCCTACCTTGTGGTTAGCAGGTGAGCACTTACCCAGTGGCACCATGAGGGCTGTCTGTAAGACTGAAGATAATTAATAAAGGCACAGATTAAGTATCTCTAAAAGACTAAGAAAACTTAACTTTATATTGTTTCTGTAACAAATTACTACAAATTTGTGCCTCAAAGCAACACAAATTGTAATTTTACAACTCTGTAAGTCAGAAATCTGACACTAGTCTCACTGGGCTAAAATCAAGGCTGTGCTTTCTGAAGGCTCTTTTCTCCCTCTTGTTTTTTTTTTTTAATAGCAGAAGTTTCAGTAAAAAATTAAGAGCATATTACTTTTTAGAACAGTTGTAGGTTTATAGAAAGAACAGAATTCCTACACATTCCCTACCCTCTGCACAGTATTTCTCCTACAAAAATCTTGCATGGCAACGGCACATTTTACACATAATTGATGCACCAATATTGATGCATTATTATTAATGGAAGTCTACACAACATTAGAGCTCACTTTTTATGTTATAGAATCCTATCATTTTTGACATATGCTTAATGTTAGGTACCCAATATTATAATATTATATAGAATAGTTTGATTATTTTAAAAATGCTCTGCGCTCCACCCAGTTATCCCTCCCTTCTACTGACCTCCTGGAAACCACTGATTTTCTGACTGTCTCTGTAGTTTTGTCTTTTTCAAAATGTCACATAATTGGGATCATATAGTATGTAGTTATTTTGGTCTGGCTTCTTAAACTTAGTTGCATGAATTTAAGATTCTTCTGTGTCTTTGATGCTTTATAGTTCATTTCTTTTCTTTTCTTTTTACTTTTCTTCTTCTTTTTTACATAGAGTCACTATGAGTTGGAACCAACTCAATAACACCTAAAAAAACCAAACATTTTTGTTATCATTTAAGAATGTCAACATTTTTTATTGATTGTGGTTTGGGTGAAAGCAGACAGAGTAAAATAGTCTCACATACATCTTGTTTTGTAACATTAGCTCATTTTTCTTTGTCTCTGAACAATACTTCATTGAATGGGTGTGTGACAATTTATTTATATGTTTTTACCTATCCAATTGCATCTTGGAGTTTCTAACTCTTTCTATTTATGAATAAATTTTCTATCAATAATTATGTATATATTTTTAAATGTGAACATTCATTTATATCTCATTTGGGTAAATACCTAATGGCTCAGTAGTTGGAGCAAGTGGTAAATCTTTGTTCCACTTTGTAAAAAAATGGTCAGATTGTCTTTCAAAGTTACTGTACCATTTGCATTAAAAATTGTTTTATTGGGGGCTTGTACAATTCTCATCACAATCCATACATCCATCCATTGTGTCAAGCACATATGTACATTTGTTGCCCTCATCATTCTCAAAACATTTGCCTTCTACTTTAGCCCTTAATATCAGTTGCTCATTTCCCCCCTCTCTTCCCATAGCCCCCTCCCTCATGAACCCTCCATAATTCACAAATTATTATAGTTTTGTCATAAGTTACACTGTCCGACGTCTCCCCCTGCCCTCTTCTCTGCTGTCCATCCCCCAGGGAGGAGGCTATACGTAGATTCTTGTAATTGGTTCCCCCTTTCTATCCCACATTCCCTTCACCCTCCAGGCATCGCCCCTCTCACCACTGGTCCTGAAGGAGTCATCTATACTGGATTCCCTGTGTTTCCAGTTGCTATCTGTACCAATGTACATCCTCCGGTCCAGCCAGATGTGTAAGGTAGAATTGGAATCATGATAGTGGGTGGGGTGAGGAAGCATTAAAGAACTAGAGGAAAGTTATATGTTTCATCGTTGCTACCCTGCACTCTGATTGGCTCGTCTCCTCCCCACAACCCTTCAATGAGGGGGTGTGCAGCTGCCTACCGATGGGCATTGAGTCTCCACTCTGTACTCACCCACCTTTACAATGATATCTGTACCAATGTACATCCTCCGGTCCAGCCAGTATCAGTACTATCTTCTAGGCCCTCAAAGGGATGGCAATCTATTCCGGTGTTTTTTTGGATGGCCTTTTAAACTTTATCCACGTGAATGTGATAGCTGGGTACCATCTATTGGCTGTTATATTCCTTCGTGCTACATCTATCTTTCTAAAATCATAAGTGTCCTGGTTTTGTTTCTCTTGAGAATCCTGTCTAATACAAGGGGCTACCTTAATTTCCATAAAAGACAAAGGTAGAACAGAAATATTAACAGCAACATTAGGTCAATGATCTGAAGTAACCCACAAAACCAAGACGGAGTAAGACCTGTACCAAGAATAGCAAGTATCATGAGGCTTTGGTCTATACATACCCAAGAAGCACCAGAAGCAGCTACATTCTGTAAAACCTCAGGTTGTACCTGACTATAGACATGGAAACACTCATCTATTCAGACACAAAGCTGCTTTTCTGAGGCTTCGCAGAACCATCTCCTGGCATTCTATGTTGTAAAACTGCAGCTTTGAGCCCAGTTGCTTATTGAGTCAGAAGTCTTCCAGTCCTGCTCTATTTACACAAAAAGCCTTTAATCTGAGAGTTGAAATATCACTAATTAAACATTCTAGGAATTAGAAGTATTTCTTATATTATGAGGGCAGAGCCTTAAAACACACCTAATATTCCCACATAAAAACCCATGGTAACATTTTAGTCTGTTCAATAGCTTGTCCATTCTTCACAATTTGAATCTGTTGTAATTTGTGAGAGGATACAACCCTGATACACACCTTCCCTGATTCTTAATAAAAACTATCTATGTACTACAAAACCTAATTAGCTGCTGAAATAAAGTATAATTGACCTAAGTGTTCTTTCAAACTGTTATCTGGTTTTGAATCCCAATTTAACAATGCCTCAATGGCAGAGTGCATATGCATTGTGCTGTGATCCCCATGCTTGGCAGTTCAAAACCACCAGCTGCTCCGTGGGAGAAAGGACTGGGCTTTCCACTCCTGTCAACAGCAACAGTCTTGGAAACCCACAAGAGGTCGCGATGAGTCGGCCTTGACTCAATGGCAGTGAGTTTGTTTTTTGGTTTATAGGACAGTAGAGCTGCTTCACCGGGTTTCTGAACTATAGATCGCTAAGACAGACACGGCTTATTCTTCGGAGTCAATGTTGCTGTCGTTCGGTACCATTGAGTCGGTCTGACTCAGAGTGACGCTATGCACAATAGAATGAAGCACCCGTGCAATGCGCATGGGCTCAGATGGCAGAGCTTTCTCTCAGCAGCCAAGCCTTTGGTCCACCAACATTTCTTCCACACGAATTGAGAGAGTTTTTCTTAAGAGTTTTTCTGAGGCTGAATGAGTCAGAATGCCCTCCCTTTCGTTTAGGCTTACAAAGACAAGAATTAGTCATGTGCATATGTTTAAATGGATTAAAAATTTTTATCTTTTGAAGGCTCAAGTCTTGTCCTGTTTCTGGAAAAACTGATTTCGATATCAAAATCGTCTTTCTTCCAGAAATGAAACCTATTCTGTAATATCTTAATGAAGTTACTTGTTATTTTGATTTTGAGGTTATAAACATAAAACTTGTTCCAAAGGAATGTATTTCATTAATTATTTATAATTGCAGAACAATTTGATTTAAGAGTGTACATGTGTTATAACTGCCAAGCAGATTTCCTTAAAAAAATTATATGACTTAATAACATCATCTGGAGGTAAAAATTATATTTTCAACAATATTTTTGCTCTAGAAGGTTTGCTTTATCAATCCAAAATAGTTTATTTTTCTACAGTACACCCTTCAAATGGTCTGCCTAATTAAGAGTCACAGTAAGCAGTTTAAGGCCAGATTTGCATTTAAGGCTCAGATTAACCTAATAGAGAGAAAATAAGAAAACATAGATCTCAAAGTTCAAACAGAAGTCCTAAGAATGAAACTCCATTGTGTTAGTCCAGGGTTGACTAGAGAAATAAATCGAGGGACACATGTGTGTGTAAGAGAGCTTTATATCAAAGAGTAATTGTATATTAAGAAAACATCCCAGCCAAGTCCAGATCAAGACCATTAGTCAAATATTATTCCATATGTCTGATACCAGTCTATAAATTCTTCTTCAGACTCATTCAACACATGCACTGATGCCAAATGCAGAAAACTCATAGGCCAGTGGGTAGAAAGTCTTGTGGATCCAGTGGCAGTGGAAGCATTTCAGCGCTGGCGTGGGTCTCCACGTGGCTCCTTCAGCTCCAGGGCTCTGATTCCATCAGCATAACTCCTTGTGGCTTGTCAACAGGAATGAGAAGCTGAGAGAGAGTTCCCAGAATCCTCCTGAGAAGGCCACGCCTACAAGGAGGGATCAGCCTGTGACCTGATTGACCCCTTCATTCTTATTTATCAAGTTGACATGAAATTGTGTAACTACCACACCCATTCATGATTCTAGGTGACCCATAAGTAGATTTCATTCAAACGGACACCATTTGGAACAAGGATCATGTATTCAACTGGGTCTCTGAAGTCAACTAACAGGCTTATGAAATCACTATTGTCTGTTTCCAATGTACAACAATTAACAACAGCATACCATTCTAAAAACTGCACAGCACAACAGAAAGTCAAGCAACACAAACATACACACTAGTTGCATAATTTCAAGTTGTTTTAGTTAGTTCAAC